TCAATCTAGTTCATATCCTGGAAAGCTATTTCCACAAGATCTACTATATTATCCTTGCACATATGTTTGTGTATTTACTGGCAAGCTGTGTGGTACACAGTATTGTTGTACAGGCTGGCATGAGCATGGCATACTCGGCTGTATTGTTGCCACAATTTGCAGATCCTGACAGTATTCCTACGGCCACAAAAGATCAGAGCTCATGGATTGGCATGTAAATTTTCCCAGCAACTTGATATTACTAAAAAAAAACTTATGATGAACTAAACGTAGCAGGGCTGACTGGTTTTTGTTCAATGACTGTTCTCTCTTGGTGATTTTATAAGAATACTGACTCACATTGTACATTTGAAAATACAGATATGCTTTACAATAATTGTAAGTCTAGAACAACCCTACTCATGTATTCAGAACATTCTTAGCTTGAACCTCAGCCTGGAAATTGGCTATCCTGACTGTGGTTTTTCATTATTATTTCTCTTTGTCCCTCCAGACAATTAAGCCACAACTGCTTTCCAAATCCCTTCCATTTCCTGTCATCCTAGTACTCCAGCCTATATAGCCTACAATACTGAATATGTCCTATATTAACACATAATAAAAAGTACTAAAATCCACTACTTCAAAAATAAAACCTTAAATAGAGATTCTGCTATAATGATGTGCATATAATTATTGGAACAAACTCTTCAAGGAAGACCCTTCAGTTACACTGATTTGAGTTATGATGATTCCATTAGAACCATTCATTACTGCTACAGAATCAGCAATCAAGTACATCTGTCATGTATTGCCATTAGACTACAGCAGACCATCTTATGACAAAGCCTTCTGCATTCCTCATCCTCCTGTAGATGTGTCCTTTTCCCTGCTCCATTTTGTGTTTTTTCCATCACTTGATCTCTTCACCTAATCCTTAATATTTCCTATGGTCATTTATTCACCATTCTCATTTTTATGCTCTTAAGACTGTATGCCCTATCTAAGAAATGTTAATTTNTACATCTGTCATGTATTGCCATTAGACTACAGCAGACCATCTTATGACAAAGCCTTCTGCATTCCTCATCCTCCTGTAGATGTGTCCTTTTCCCTGCTCCATTTTGTGTTTTTTCCATCACTTGATCTCTTCACCTAATCCTTAATATTTCCTATGGTCATTTATTCACCATTCTCATTTTTATGCTCTTAAGACTGTATGCCCTATCTAAGAAATGTTAATGTTACCAAATTTAGACACACTTTTAAGTAACCACACCTTTTTGAATTACTATGAGAAGCCAGGACAGCTCACTCAGTATAGCAAAAAGGATTTCAAGAATGTACTTAATGATGTAACTTGTTCAAGTGTTACTTTTGTAGCAATTATGAATGCCAAATAAAAATTAAATTAAATAGGCTGAATAGTGAAGGATGTAGCATTTGATTTCTGGCAGGTACAACAAAATTTTCTCTAAATATATCTTTAACTATACAAAACATTAGAAACATAAAATGCACGCTTTCTTATATTCTCAAAAACAAAATGTTATAGGAAAATTCTGATTCATTCAGTTGGGGCATGCATCTGACCACTCTCCTCCGTCTAGTACCAGGTTAAGAATACATGGATCTGTACATCTACTCCCCCATACCTCTTCACGACATGGATTAAGCAGGGGAACAAATTTAGTTATACCTTTATTAGGTAATTCAGTGTGCCATACAATAAAAGTCAGTTACACTTTCCATATGGGAAGATGATTTTAAAGATTTGTGTATGTCTCCATACATGCAATACGTTGTGGTTGCATTTCACGTGAGGGATAAGTTCCTGAAGATCTCACATAATTCAAGACATGTTTCGAAACACGTAAGTAATAGTTTTTTGGGATTCACATTATCTCAAACTTTGTGCAGAAAGTGTGACTACACTGTATACAGGATGTCTGGATAAAAGGTATACAAAATAAAATAATTATATCTCAGAAAGCACTTATTGTACACATTCATGGGTCACACCATTACAAAGGGAAATTATCGAGGTTATTTTCTGAGTATATAACTTTCTCAATAAATTTCAATGTGGGCTCCCTTGGTGGAACGGCAAATATCCAGATGATATTTGACCTCGTTCCACATTGCTTCAAGCATGTTTTGTATTACTGCAGCCACAGAGTTGCTTATGAAGGCTTTCAGGTGTTGAAGGTCATTGATCTTAACCTGAGACAATGTTCTTCACATAACCCCACAAGAAAAAATCCAATGGGGTTAAATCTGGCAACCTAGGAGGCCAAGCAACTGGTGCAACTCTACCGATCCATCTCCCAGCCGTCTCCGTCCGGGTGATTCCCTAACATGGTGGCACAAATGTGGAAGCACCCCACGTTGTTAGAGGACAGTTTGAGGTGGTAACTGGGGCAGTGCCATAGAGCTCCAGCATGTCCAAGTACGATTGTTTTGTCAGTCTTTTCCAAAAAGAAAAATGGTTCAATCAACCTGTCGTGCATTAAGCTGGCCCACGCTTTTCCATGTAGGAGGCTGACGCCCATATTGCGTTCTAACACAACACTGAACAGCTAAGAGATTATAACTCTGGTAGCCACAACACACACTGAACCTGTTCCTGAGCCCACCAAAGGTCACTAGCTGACAAATACGTGTAAGTTGGGCATGAAAAAATTTCCAGAGTTTTCCTTTCAGATGACATAAACTAGATATGTGTATGACAATTAGTTTCTGATATAATTTTTTTATTTTGGATACCCTGAACAGTAAACCCTTGTACATCATGAATCTGGTTATGCACACAGAAGCAAATGTGGAAAATCTGAATAAATACAGCCTACCAAACATGCTTGGGGATGTGCATGTCCACATGCAATCTAGTATTTTCTCCTGATCTCATCAAATCTCCATCTCTCCCTTACATTACCTTTTTTCTGGAATAATTAAGCCTTCTGCTTCCAGATACGTACATCACGATCAACAACAGNGACTGCTTTCTTCATAGTCACCACCGTGAAAGCCTCAAATCTTAAACAGGAGTCTTCATAACCATTCATAGGTACATAATTTACAATTAATATTACATTAAATATAATGTAACATGATGCCTGAAAGCCGGAATAGTTCATTGCTAGGCAGTTGCTCAATTAACAAACATGGAACAATAGAAGAATCAACTTGTAAGCAATGATCCGGTAAACACACAATAGAAATATTGTTGGAAACAGTGTTTTCTGTTCAGCCCATGCAGAGTGGCTATAGAGAAGAATCAGATGAGAACACTTGAGTTCCAAGTTAGCTCTCAATCAAGAGTTTGGCTCTGAAAGGAGATGACAGTCAAAGATGACAAGAAGACATAGTGTGTCATATAGTGGTTTGTGGATTGTAGTTAACAAGTTGTGTAAGTGTACAATAAATCCGGTAATCAATCCAAAACCCATCTATAAGTCATGAACAACTCCCTATGATGCGACAATACTGTAATTGTATTTATCACATGTAAATATAATGTTTATGGTCTTATTGTTTTTACTTCGCGCGTGCTTACAGTATTTTCTGAGCAAGTCATCTGTGTGTGTGTGTGTGTGTGTGTGTACTAAACCTATGTATCCACGAATTAATGACAGACTTTATGCCACTGCATTCAAATATCTCCATTTAGCCCATAACATATTAACTCTCTCCAACTGGATTTATCTAACCTGCTACAATTTAAATCAAGGAGGATGAGACAAAACATAGTACACTGACAGAAATGAGAAATATATACACAGTATCAATAGAAAAATATCAATGAAAGATTAACATAATTTAATTTGCTGCACTATGTAGTCTTGTAGGTGTGATTCTCCCCTGAAGATGGAGGCAGCAAGACCTTCCAAAGCACTGGTAACCATCTGAGAAACTACATGGTGTCATACCACAGGAGACCAGCTTCTAAATATTCAATTCCATGAAAATCTTGGTCTCAACTGAAAAAACATATGGGAGATAAGTAAACTGAAAATGAATATCAAATTTCTGAGAGAAGTTTATTATTTAACCTTCACAATGCTGCGGTTGACATATGTCGATTTCTGAAAAACACGGCGTCCTTGCGATCGACAAAACCCATATTGCAACTTTAGTTTAAAATCTCAGGTTTCTTTGCACCAATCTCATTCAAACTTGGTGGGTGCATAGAGCCAACTATTGGGGACATAATGAAGCATCATTCATTTCAATGGCTGCATTCTTCTGCCCTCTAGCTTAAGAAATGTAAAAGGTTGCATCTGCACAGTGAGGCACGTGCTGCGTGACCATGTGACGTGGGTATTTCACAGGGCTAGTAAAAATGGCTTCGTATAGTGTGCAGTGCTTTCTATAATAGTTTTAAACAAAGTTGTGAACTTTGGTCAACATGTGACTTAGTGATAAGACTAGGATAGTGAATTATGTACTTTTTTGGCCATCTTGGACAACCCTGATTTAAATGGAATTTTCCCCTGTGAAAAATACTGAATAATTCAACATTTTTGCAACTTCTGATACCTGTTCCCTGTCTGAGGTAAGATTAGTTACATTTTATCACAAATTTTCATACTTTGCACTTAAATCATTTATAAAAGATTTATTCAAAAATAATTCAGCACAGAGGGTGCTGAGAGTTATTTAACATACTAGCAGTGAAAGAGTTAATGATGCTGCAAGTAATAAATATATAATGGCAGGAAACATCTTTAACAAGAGGATATTAGGTTGCATTTGAGGTTTCAGCAGCAGTGACTATGAGTAGTACTATCTCTCAGGATGTGACAGTGTGCAGCTCAATACAAGTTCACATTTAACATCTGCTTGCTGCTTTTGCTTGCCCTGCTCTTCAGCCCAGGACACTCTGGTGATTCACGCATTCCTTAAAGCTGTTCAGACATAACTAATCCTTCCATATTGTAGTTTCAGATGTATCTGTTATGTTCCCTTGATAATGTTACTATTCATTATATCAGTTAACTGTCTGCCATCTTTTTAATGAGGCACTACATTTCATATCTGTCCCATCTCACGGTCAGGTTTTATATTATCTATATGGACGAAACACCATAACCAAACATCTATGATGAACAGGCAGTGTATTGGCTACTGCATTCGATAGGATTAACTAGCAACCACTTGGCAACGTTGCAAACGATCATGTCCACCAGAAGCTGACTGAAAAACTTGTGCTGAGTGATCGAACATGGTGCCACCACTTGGGAGGAATATACAACATTTCTCCCTGTTTCAGGTGACACTCCCATGCAATGATATTCTTGTAATTTGGGAACGTTTTGTAATCAGGTTCTTCAGGATCAACTTGTGCTGTATTGTTAAGGAATGAACCCTCATATGGGTACAGGTTTTCTGATTGATCTGGGTGGTATAAGAGAATACGCTTCTCACCAACAACCTGAAACAAAGACAAGGAAACTGCTCTTGCTGTACATTTTACATGAACTTAAATGCCACTAGAATCTATAATACACCACATTTATAGTCAATAATTTCCAACATAAGTGTTCAAACTGCACTGGTTGGGATACAATCCAAAACCTGAAGACTACAGTAGAAACAACTCTGGAAATATTGTGTCAAATACAACCTCTGATAATTATCCATGAATATTTTGTATATCAAATATAATATCCTTCTCCAGACTACAGTGTTACAACCTACAATACCATACCCTTCATAGTCAATGCCCTGAGAACCTCAATTCCATGACATAAACCTAGATAATTATCTAAGATTATAAAAATAAGATGTAAATTAGCATCTAAGCATATCTTGTTTATTTCCCTGTGTTCGCTGTATGCTGTTCAAACACAAACATGTTTTGGTCACGCAAGACAACCTTCAGGGGGTGCACAATATTAAAGGGAAACTTTACAATCCACATATACAAAAATAAAGGATTTAAAGTATCAAAGTCACAAACTTCTTACAAAACGTTAAAACTCTACCAGAATACCTGAACTTATATTTTAAATACACAACATTTACGGGGTTTGTTCTACTCCAGTTCCCAGTTTCTTGATTTGAACCCAACTGGTGCCACTTGAAAGTAAAAACAAAAGAAGTGTCTGTCAGAATAATGCCTCTCCCTTCCTACATGCCAAATTCATTGCAGTTTCTTTAATTTCACTATAGTACTACAATCTGTATAAATCATACATTTCCTCACAACTCAGAGACCACAATCAAAGCAAAAGTTCCTCATTAAGTAATATCCAAAATTACTTGCTTCCTTACTCTCTGATCCAAATATTTTCATCAGCAATCTGTTTTTCAAACTTCTTACATTTATGTTCTTCATGGTAATAAAGCTCACAAGTACAGAATTCATTTCACATGAAATTGCATACATCCACACTTGCTTACGTCCAGCCTTCACTAAAACAGTTATATGGATTAGTAAAACATCACATCTAAATCACATTGGTATCATTAGGAACCTTCCAATTTGCCATATCAGTATACTGTTCCGAAACTTTTTTGAAGGTGTTTCACTTTCAGACAGCAACAAAGATTATACCATCATCAGCAAGTTCCTGGATTCAATTTTCGATCTAAAGTGAGAATCAAAATAGCCATATGAGAAGTCTCAAACACAGGATTTTTCTTTCATAACGTTGCCTACTCAAGTTATGACATACTGATGTTTCAGACTCACAATACTTAAACACGAGAACCTTTCCAGTGATGAACCTACTGACCCGTCACTCTACACAATTCAGAATCTTTCTTGCACGGATGTTACTTGGACAATCAAAAGACTTCTACTATTATGAAACACTGAGGTTGATAGTGTCCATCAAAGTCTGCCATTGGACCATATCCTGAGATACATGAATCAAACCCATTGCTAGGCAATGACCACATAACAAATGAGACAACAGCTGTTGCTATGCAGTGGCCAGCACACCAATGGACTGTCTGGAAAGTGGTATCTTCTGTGTGGGCTGCGCATGCAACAATGGATACAATGAGTGGTGTTTTCTGTACAGTCTGTGCTGAGGGGTTATAAATGGGACAAACTTTAGAGCTTAGTCAGTTGTGAGATATTTGTCTCCTGGTATGGATGTCAGCAGAAGACACTGTTAGGATCCGTTACCAGGAAACGACAAGTGAAGACACAGAACACTCTGTGTGCTGCAGTTACAGTGATTTTTTGAGTATGTACACCAGTAAGGCTATTATAGTTACTTGTAGTTATGATATGTAAGTGGTCAATACACCCAATTACCAACCCAAACTGCGTCTGTAGTCACTTGTACACATGACAATAGCTGTGGGACTCTACTTCTCAATTTCATTTTTTATTGTTATTCTTTAGTACCTGAGTTGAATGTACACTTTACATACATACTTGAGCCAGAAGGTTATGCTTGGGGTCATAATGTAGTGGCGACACTGTACCCTTAGGACCAAACCAAGCATTGATGTCTGTCTCCTCCGTAACTGCTCCTTCACCCAAGTCGTCACTGAGACAACAATATTCTGGTTCAAAAATATCTGACATAAGCTCTGGGACCTGCAAACCCCATGAACAAAAGTATAAATTATAATTACACTTTATATGAAATACTAATATAATACATAGCTCTGATGCTATATAATCTATATACTGAAAGCACCATTAAACAACCTACAAGAAATATACATACACTATATATATATATATATATCGCTGAAACAATACAAGTCTGACCAAGATGGTTGGATTCAGATTCCACAAGGCACATATAAGTTTTAAAAAATATTATGAAAAACGTTATTAATAAGCATTAAAATTTATCTTAATACCTACAAATACCTTTTCATCACAGAAGACAATTTAAGAAAAAAACAAATATGTAACAAAATCTTTTTTGAAGGAATACTGTATTCTTATAAAAAGGACTGCAATTAATATGCTATCAAATGTTAATTTACATGCAGATATGTATAGATAAGAATGAAGTGTACATTCATGCATGCAGGACTGCCCAGAAATATTGTCTGGCAATAATCACAAGACTGCAGCAAAGGGGAAAGCACAGAGTGATGCCACCTCCAAATTTTTTCGATCTAACAAACTATCTAGTCACATCCCAGAGGACCATAATTTTACATAATGAATCGTACAGTGGGCATGAAGATAATGTTCCACATATTCTTCAACCTATCCCTATATCACGGCATGTGATTAGCTGCATATCCTGGCTACCTTTTAAGCCAAGTAAATATTCCTCAGTATCCAATGGACAGGAAACCAACCGGGCTCCACGGTCATGTTGGATATGGCAGTACAGTGAAAAATCTTAATGCCTGTACTGGGAATTGAACCATGGCCACCCAGTAAGCAGTTCATCTCTCAATATAGTAATTGAACTTCTACACTTCTGATAATATACTGATGCCCAAATACACACCTGCTCAAACAAGGGATGCTGTGCTAAGTATCCAATAGGGGTGGCTTCACCCGTCTGTGGTACAATATGGGCTTCGATGAACTCTGCCACTGTCATTAGTTTCTGTGACCATGTTGGATGTACATAATGAACTCCAAGCTCTATGGGCACTGTGCGTGCCCCAGCTACTTTCTTCAGGTAATTTATATCTCTCCAGAGATGCAGTGCTGGCCAGTGGCTTATACAACCTGAAACACACCACATGCTCCCCACTGAAGTTCACTTGCAGATGGACACACTCTCATTGCAGCATTTGTACAGTATGTTGTGTTATCATGAATGTGTGAGGTCAAGTAAATCCTAGATTCAACATTATAAACTCATAAACTTGCTAAAATATTAGATTCTAAACGGTGTGAAGAAGTGACAAGTCTCTGCCTCTTCCAATATTTGAACCCCAATTTCCTGGGCAGCATCAAGGGTAGCCTGCATTTTAAATCCTCATTTCTCTTTTTAATTTGCTTAGCGGGGGTAGAGTCCTACTGGGTTCAATCGGCACGGCGGCCACTGATTGGCCTATTGTAGCCTGCCCAGGGTGATTATGATGGAGAATTTGGTGGAATGAAGATTGGCAGGGGAAACCGAAGTACTTGGAGAAAACCTGCCCCAGCGCCACTTTGTCCACCACAAATCCCATTTGACCAGACCCGGGATTGAACCCAGGCTGCCACAGTTTGAAGCCAGTGACTAACCGCTTGAGCTATGGTGTGGCCCTTAAATGCCCATGCCACTGAATGAGTTAAAATTGCCCCTTCTCCATTTCCATACTCAATATGGACATTGCTGTATGCACACATGCAGTTTTACCTGCCTGTGAGTTTTGCTGGAACACGAGGGCCAAAATGAGCAGCTCTGAAGCCTTCCAGTGAGGGCTTCTCCAAAGTGTTTAACATTTGACCTTTGATCCCTGGAATATTATGTACCATAACTGAACTATGCTCTGTGTTACTTGAAGGCTCAGATACTGCTTGTTGTTGTTCTGACACTGCAAAAAAAAAAACATTATTTCCAATAATCGACATGAAACAATGCATAAAACTTCATGTTTCTTGATCTGAAAATATTCAGATTATAATGTAGTCCTTTCAGGTCCACTGTCACACCCAGCCTGAAATTTGGGAACTACTACGTGAGTCAAATTTGAAAGTGGGAAATCTCATTCTGGTCTTAACCTGACATTTAATTACAATGAATCAGAACTGGACCTGATGGCATGTACACATGAAGAAACCTGAAATGAGGCCCTCCGTTGAACTGAGACTGACATCTGTAAATTCTTTTTTTCAATATTAGATGAGTCCAATTATAAAACTTAGCGGCCTCCGTAGTCTAGGGGTAACGTTCCCACCTCATGACTCAAGGTACGCGGGTTCAAACCCAGCGGAGGTCGTGGAATTTTTAAGGGTGGAAAAATTCAGGGAACAAGTCCTCCGGGAGGGACTTTAAGCCATGTCCCGTGTCGTAGATTTACGGCACATAAAAGAACCTCATGTCTCTAGGAGATCTCTGAGCTAAATTACGCAATAATTTCCCACCCAAGTAGTTTCCAATGCCTCTGGTAGATGGGGGAAGCATCAAGGTACTGAGGGCCGACCTCGTTGGCTCAACGGGGCTGATACCATGCACCGTTACTGGTAGGGTATGGAGACAAAAAAAAATTAAAGGGGGACGCACAATGGACCGATAACTGGTCTAAGTGCATGGGGAAACCCACCCCCTCTAATAATAATAATAATAATAATAAATAATAATATTATAAACCTTAAACAAAATTAACTGGCTCCAATGGGGATGTCAAACGATAAAAGGTAAAGCTATCCCTGTAACAGGCCGTGGAGGGTTGTGAGACATCGAGGCTCCCACATTTTCTAGATTATTGGCTCACAGATGGCAGTGAGACTGTCAGCCATGCGCACCAGCCACCCTTTATCCCCCCAGGAATATTCCTGGTACTCATTTTTGTTAGGGGCTGAGTCAACCCTAGGGCCAAAGTGAGGCTCGAAAGACTAGGTCAACTGAAAAATTAAATGACTTCATCAGGAATTGAACTCACGACCTTCCAGCTTGTAGCACAGTGCCTCAAAAAACTATGCTGGTATGTGCACTGATGTCAAAGCATAAAGAATTAAAGAGAATAATGAAAGCACCAAAATGATCTGTTTCATTTTTCAAGATGCTAGACGAATGTTTTAACATGTGGCGATGCCATGCAGTCAGATAGATATTTGCATAGCATCACATCCCAAAAGATAACAATCTTCATAGTCATTGCAGTAGCATAGTTGGTGGAGGAACTATGCTACAAGCTGGAAGGTCACGGGTTCGAGTCCTGATGAGGTGATTTTATTTCAATTGACCTAATCCTTCCAGCCCCCTCGGAAGAGACTGTGGACCTGTCGTCTGACAGATTACTGATGAATGAATGAATCCTTCCAGCTGCAGTATGGTCGTGGTGAAGGCCGCGCCATAGCTCAAGCAGTCAGTCACTGGCTTCCCACCACGGTGGCCTGGGTTCGATCCCAGGTCTGGTCAATTGGGATTTGTGGTGGACAAAGTGGCGCTGGGGCAGGTTTTCTCCAAGTACTTCGGTATCCCCTGCCAATCTTCATTCCACCAATTGCTCCACAATCACCCTCACCTATCATCTGGGGCTGGTACAATAGGCCAGATGTGGCCGCAGTACAAGGGACTTAGTCCCACACCACTAGCAATAATCAAAGGAAATGGTTGTGGTGTCGACTCAACCTCTAACAGAAATGAGTACCAGGAATCTTCCTGGGGGGTAAAGGGTGCCCGATGTGTAAGGCTGACAACCTTACTGCCATCTGTGAGCCGATTGTCTAGATCAAGGGTCTCCAAACTGCGGCCCGCGGGCCACATGCAGCCCATGATGTGATTTTATCTGGCCCACAAAAGATTTGTGCAGAAATGCGCCAATTGAACTAATTTTCCAATGAGTACTGGTAAATGTGATTCCGAGCTTCTTGACCTGACATATTATACTGCAGTTCGATGGCTTAGCTGTGGAAAGGTTATTTCGTGCTCCTTTCAGCTCAGGATTGAAAGTGATATATTTCTTACCGAGAAAAACCATCATGAACCACTTTTATCAGATACCAAGTGGCTTTGGAAATTAGCAGTTTTGCTGATCTGGTAAACCATATGAACCATTTGAATTTAAAGTTGCAGGGTGAAAATAACTTAGTCTGTGATTTATTTGCACTTATCAAGGCATTCAGAGTAAAGTTGATACTTCTGGAATGGCAAGTGAAAAATTGTAACTTTGTTCATACACTATACTGTGCAGAGTTGCATTAAAAGGGTGAAGGAGAATTTCCTTCCTCGTTTGCAAATTTAGTCTTTTTTTCAGATTTGAAAGAACAATTTGGGACCAATTTGCTTATTTGGATTCCAGTGCTCAGGAAATTAGATTGTTTCAAAATCCGTTTGACTGTGATGCTGCAGATGTCCCAAGTCAAATCCAAATGGAAACTATTGAACTTCAGGAAAATTATCATATTAAAGACAAATACAAGGAAGGACATCTGATCGAATTTTATAAATTTCTGAACTCTGAGCAATTTTCGAATTTAAAGAAATTTGCTTGTAAATTTATCTCCATTTTTGGGACGACATATCTGCGTGAACAAGCTTTTCCAGATGAAGTACATCAAGTCGAAATACAGGGCAAATTTATCCGATGAACATTTAAAGTCGGTACTTGTGATTAGCTTTTCAAAATTTGATCCTCAATTTAATCAGATTTTAAGAATGCAAAAAGAGTTCCATCATTCACATTAATTGTTTTATTATAACTTTTGATGGAAATATGAGCATTTGCTGCTACTGTCTGTTGTCATTAATACACGATAATTTATTTTCACGTACTTTGTATTTAGTTCACAAAATTCTGAGCTTTCAATAAAACTCATATACCTAGAGTTATTAATTTCTCATTTTATCCGGCCCGTTGAAAGTGCTGAATTACCTAATGTGGCCTGCGGTTTGAGTGGGACCCTCAATGTCTCATAACCCTATGCCCAGAAGATACCATGACCTGTACACTTAAATCCCTGGCTTAAAAGGAACGCTGCTCACTACCCTGACAGATTTTTCACGGTTTTCCTCAGTCCCTAGAGGAAAATGACAGGAAAGTATCTCAATCACACCATGACTATGTCTACTACTTTTCAATTCCTTATTGACCAGTCATCCTACTATTCAATGCTATAAAGTCTACCTATTGGCAGCATCATTAAATAACCCAACTGATTTAAATACAATAATGGCAAATCATACACAAGCCATACATAAGTTCAGTTAAACCCAACATAACAGAGAAACTGCAGCACGTATCGTAATGGAGGATCTGTTGCAATTTGAGAATATTCACCTGAAGAAAGCATGGACAGAGCATGAGATAACAGGCCAGCAACTCGAGTCATTGAACAGTCTCCACTGGAGAGGGGAGCTCCCAGCAAAATCCCAAGGTCAGCAGTCTTCATAGCTGATTGCAGCAACTCAGTCTTGTCACCACATCCCTGCTGATAGCTCCTCAGTAGGATATCAATCTATACACAACATAGCAATTCAATCAGCATTACATGACACCTCATGTCAGGACATGAAATCATTTTGTGTGTATGGATTCTGTAGAATCTGAATCCATGAAAACACAATTTCAAAAACTCATCTTCAACCAATATTCAGCAAATCTATCTCTATATCAAAAAGGAGTTCACTTCTTTGGCATCAAAGTGTTCAATAGCCTCCCTCAAAGGCTCAAAAAAGCAACTAATAATATTAAGCAATTCAAAACAGCACTGAAACGTTACTTACTCACTTCACCTATGCCGCTACTATATGGTGGCCTAGAGTCAAACTCAAAACAAGTCAGGCAGAACTTAGCCAACTGCAGAGGACAGTCTGCTTGGGAATTGTGGGAGCAGTGAGAACAGCTCCAACAGCTGCAACAGAAATCCTGCTAGGACTCCCTCCACTGCATTTGCAGATGGAAGCAAAAGCCAAGTTAGGAAATTACAGATTACATTGCAATGATCAATGGAGACCTAAATCCGAAGGTTTTGGACATGCATATATGACTCGGGACATGAAAAAAGAACCCATCCTACAGATAGAATCTGATAAAATGCTATTGAAACATGTTTATGAGAGACCCTTCACAATCAGATTTCCTGACAGAAGTGAATGGAAAGAGGGGAATAATCTGGTATACAGATGGCTCCAAGACAAATAAAGGCACTGGCGCTGGGGTGTATTGTGATGGAATGGGGCGGAAGCATACCTTCAGCCTTGGTCAGTACACAACAGTATTCCAGGCAGAGGTGTATGCCATTAAGGCATGCGCAGTTGGGAATTTAGATAGGAACTATAGAAATAGGAACATCTATATCCTATCAGACAGTCAAGCTGCAATTAAAGCACTTGGTACATACCAAATCACTTCAAAACTGATTTGGGAATGCCACCAATCCCTCATACAACTGGCCAGACATAACAGAGGACAACTGATATGGGTGTCAGGTCATGAGGGTATTGCAGGGAATGAAACCATCGATCAACTAGCAAGAACAGGATATGAACAGCCATTCCTAGGACCTGAACCAGCTTGCGGTAGCTCAATTGGAGTTGCCAGAAAAGCGATCAGGGACTGGAGTGATAGAAATCATAAAAAATACTTGGAATCCATAATTGGACTCAAACAAGTAAAGGGTTTTATAGCAGGACCATCTGCCAGAAGAACAAAGGATCTGTTGAGATTAAACAGAGATCAACTAAGATGGGTGGTAGGATTACTTACGGGACACTGCCACCTAAAAGGACACCTTTTCAAGTTGGGACTGACAGATAACCAAACTTGTGAAAGGTGCCTACAAGAAAACAAATCAGCCACACATCCTGTGTGATTCTGAGGCCACAGTTTATTTAAGATTTTGTCACTTGGGTCAATTCTTTATAAAACCAAGTGACTTTTATGATGCCCCCATAAGCAGGGTCCTACACTTTATTAAGTGTAGGATTAATAAAGGGCTAATCTAAGGGGAAGCACAATAGATCACTGAAGGTTGCAGTGCGGGGGCCGGTTTTTATGGCCCACCCCTTACATACAATACATTACATTACATTACTTACTCACTCCTACTCCACAGAATATTTCAATGTAAACAGACATTAACTACTGTAGTATCAATTCTAAGCTACGAGTAAAGTGTATTCCCAAGCGGCCTCCGTAGTCTAGAGGTAACGTTTCCACCTCATGACTTGTAGTATGCGGGTTCAAATACCCGGCAGAGGTCGTCGAATTTTTAAGGGCGGAAAANGGAGTTGCAACACTCCCCGCGACTGCATCCGTTCTGCGGTGGTATGACTCACGGCAAATTGCAGCCGCGGCGCGCACTTGATTGTACGCACTGTATTAATACTGTATTATAATCTTACCAACTTTTCAAGCAAAACTATTATTGTACAGATATTATGTATTTGTACTTGTTCCATATCCTTTCAAGTCACCTTGTACTTGGATTTACACAACGTAAACAAATTCAAATTCAAAACCACAACAGTTACTTGTAAGACCACAGCAATGTTTTTAAACCATTACAACTAATCAGTGCATCATTAATACAAATTGAAAATAACAGTAAATTAAGAGTTAAAGGTAATTTTAACTATGAAGAGGACTATCTTTTGGCATATAACACTGCATAATCTAGCAGAAGTTAAACTGATGTTTCAGAGGAACATATTGCATCCATTTTTAGGGTCAAAGAGTAAGCCATGCAAACAACCAAAAAGAAAAATGCAAGCATGACTCCATATTGGTTACTTGACTTACTCTTCATTCCCAAAGATGGAGGCAGTGTGTAACATCAATAAACACCTACCAGACTACACAGTACCACATCCCAGACCAGTGGTTCTCAACAGGGACCATATGGCCCCCCAGTGGGCCACAAAATTTTCACTTCTAAAATAAAATTATTAATAATATAAAAAGAAATAAAAATGCCAAATGATCAGTATATATAATAACACAATAACTCAATATCCTTGTTTTTGTGTACCTTACTTAGAAGGGACAGAACCTATTGTACTTAAATCACAACCTTAGATCTGGGAATTCCAAGTACCGGTAAACAGGTATGCGACTTCTCAGAGCGGGTAGAGCCCTAACGAATTAGCCTTTATTTTCCTAAATATCTCCCCTTCCTCTCACGAGTTTTACCGCCACCTTCTCAGTAAATTTCAGGTGTTCTTCAGTTCAGTATTCGAAGTGTTTGGAAGAAGACGTTTTTCTGCGCAAGTTCTATTATTGTGGCAGTTCCCTACTTTGTAGGTAAGTTACAAACTCCAGCTACTATTTTTCGACAAATAAGCATTACATTTCATAATAACTTGAATGTTCATTACAAATAAATTATTAGCTTTCAATAGAATTTGAATGCCCTCCCTCTACAAGAAAAAATATTGTGGATTACAGCAGTTTTGTATTTATTTGAAACAGAATGGCTTTCAAAGTAATTTTGATGAATACTGTTGCAGTTTGGGGCAGTATTGTGCTGTGATAAGCAGCTTGGGGAACAGATCGTTGCTGCTAAGTGTGACATATTTTATCTATCAGATATATTCGAAAAGCTCAATTTGTTGAACAAACAGTTGCAAGGAAATAACTGCAATCTTATATCTTGCAAAGGGGCCATTACTGCTTTCCTTGGAAAACTGAAACTATTCTGGAGTAATATTGGATGTCACAAGTTAATGCAATTTCCTTCATTGGCCACTCTTGACACGGAATTGCAAGATGATGACCTTTTTGTATATATTGAGCATTTGAAGAATTTGTACAATGATATGCAATTTTGGTTCAGCGACCTGCTAGAGATGACTATCCCAGATTGGGTGGTCGATCCGTTTCAGGTAAATGCTGTTCATGTTGACAGCGTATTACAAGAATATCTCATTGAACTGCAAAGTGATGTAACAGCCCAAGCTAGATTCAAAAACGACAAACAACATTTCTAGATAAGCAATGAAATTGCCAATAAATTTCCACAGCTTTGGGAGAAGGCGAAATTGTTTTTTATCGGATTTCCTACTTCCTATCTAGTTGAATCTGGATTTAGTCGAGTTCTTCATATGCTATCAAAGGCTCGTAACCATCTTGATATTGTGAAGAGAGGTGATCTTCGATTATCTCTAACAACGCTGCAACCAGATATACAAAAACTTGCTTCTACTCATCAGCCACAAGGATCTCACTAAACCTAAGGGACACTAATATTATTGTAATATTCTTTGTCAGGAGCACAATTATATACTGTAAATAAACAGAAGATTATATAAGTAAAAATTCTATTATAAATAAAGGTTTTTGTTAATGAACTCCTTTCTTATTATCAATATTCCTTATGCTATAAACAAATAATAATTGTTATAAATAAAAGTACAGTTGATAAAGTACATATAATCAATATTACATTTATTATAATTAAACAATATGAGGGGTGGGCGGCGACAGAACTGAATGAAAGTCAGAAGTGGGCCACGAGCAAAAAAAAAGGTTGAGAACCACTGCCCCAGACTACAGAATATACTCTTCAAGTCATCACCATAAGAACTTCAAATCTAAGATATCCAGATTATTTCTTGTAACTGACAATCTACACTTATCACAAGCTATAAATGATATACACTAAAGATACTAATAATTAAGATTAATTATACTGACTTTATATAAATTTTTGACATCATTCTGTAGTTGGTAGACTTCAAAATATTATAAGTTCTCTCCCTCACAGTTTATAACAGATGTAAAGGCTCCTCTACTTTCACAATATGTTCTGCTTCTCTATTGGCTCACCAGCTAGAGTTTATTAGAAGAATGTGTACACAGCTCACATATGTTCACCGTGTGGTGACATTTATGCTTCATATGTTCCTAGATTTTCCACTGAGGTTTCAACACTCTACTAAACAAAGAAATCATCTTATTGTTGAGCTGCTTCAGGCATGAGTCTGACAGTCCACCCCTCAGTGGAGCTAAGGTTGGACACCCCATCAGAACCGACAAGAACACATTCCAAGAGATCAAAAATAAAACTTATCTGAATTAAAGCAGATGCTAGAAAAGTTCTTTCTTTTTATGCATGCATCCCTGACATCCATCTTAAAAGTTTACATTCATGAAATGAATTTCTTTTCTGGAAATAGATTAAACTTGAAGTTTCAAACTTAAGTTTCCTATAAAATTAATCTGAAGGATTTCTGAGAAGAATGTCCATGCCTAGCATCAGTTTCATCCAATTTCTCTTCAGTAAACACTTGGTGTCACAATTTGTTCTTTTTCATAGATAATATGGAAGTTAAGTAGAGTTTTCTTTTATGTACAATATATCTGTACCTTACTGTTTACAATGTGGAATATTTCCAATTCTGACTGCTCGAAAACCACATAAATATGGCACAACAGAAGTTTCTCTTCAGTACATCACATTTATTATATTTAATTTATTGAGGTTGTAGTCTTAATTCTTGAATCTACCAAATTTAAAATACCACAATTCACCCATTATGTAGTTTTCTATCTGGGCCCTCAAAAATCACATTAATTACACTCGTGGCAAAATAACTAACCTTTATGATGGCAGCAGCAGTGTACAGCTGCCGAGGGGCAAGGGGAACCTTGCTCCAGTGGCCAGTATTCAGCTCTTCCCAAGTAATTTCCAGTACTCCTTCCACAGCCTTCAGTGCTTCTGTATAACTATGGGAAGTAGTGAAATTAACAGTACAGTGAAACCTGCGAAGTTTGCCACCAGTCATAATTGGCAAAATCATATTAATTTACACAAGACCAACCCTAACTTGGCCATCTATCTTGTAACTTATCCACCTTCCTGCAATTCATGCTATAGTTTAATGTTGTTATGCTCATCACATATTAAAACGAATGATTTCTGTACCAGTCCATACAAAAGAAAATCTCTCTCTACTCTTCTGTCCCTTTCATTGATCTGCCAAGCAACCTTTCTGCTGTTTCCTTGAGATCAACAGGTTGAAGTTTAACAGTTCACAAAATAGTGCCATTTCTAACTGAAAATTGAAATTCATAAGTATCAGTTCACATCCAATGATTTTATATTAAACACAGTCCACCCAGAAGTCACAAGAACAGACAAAAATGTGCTTCCAAAACCTTCAACACAGTGGCAAAAGTAACACAACAAAACAGTTAATGTGTAGTCACTATAGACATGAAACAGTTAATTTTAACACTATTTTCTCCAAGTTTGTCACGTTTCAATGCAACCACAATTGGTAGGTTTCACTATATAACAGGATGTACAAACTTCTGACATTCTTTTAGTGACATCCTTCCAAATGCATAACAATTCTAAAACACACAAGCAAAAGATGTCTGTTAACATTCTAATATCTTACCATCAACTCATACTAGTATCAACAAATTCACTTCACCAAGAATACACAGGCAGGACATGCGATGCCTCAAGTGTGGTATCTGCTACTTTCCATTCAGTGTCAGGACACAAACAGCTTCTCTGAATAGATCATATTGTACAAATTTCTTGTTGATTTTCCACCACTTTCAGAATCACCCAATCAATACAACATAACCACAAGAACACATTTGTGATTTAATGAAAACTCACAAACCATTACTGATATGGTATTCTGGAAGATTACACATAGACCAACAAATTTTGCATTAAATTATTTTTGCATATCTTTATAAGGGTTTCAGTTTGGGAAACCTGAATAGAAGGCCACTCCCACATGTGACATACATCAGACTATACCTAGAACGAAGAAACTATGAGGGACTAAGATGGTGGTGGCAAGTGGAGGACTAAACGACCATTCCAATTCATAAAGCATCCTACCCATTGACTTTTTTATGATATGAACTATATCACAATCAAACCTAACCTAATCTAATGTTTACTGAGAATAATTATTATGAGTACAGCATTTACATGAAATAACATAAACTGACTTAACTTAATACAAGAGCAATGCTAAAAAATTGGCTGGAAATGTCAGCATAATATACTCTAAAAAATTACATTCTATTGAATTCTTTTTATTCACTGAATGATTTTTTAATAGTAATTACTAATTTTAATGTGAATTTTTAAGATTTTATGTATCATAGGTGCTTTATTTTGGCATAAATATGTTATCATCTACCTTTTAGTATGATGATTTTTTTATAATATTGAATTTTAGATGTTATGTTTAATGTTAAAGCAGGAAGATAAACAGTTTGGTTTATTGTTTGATCTGACCTATGCTTTTTTCATAGCATGTGTATTTTAGTTACTTGTCTGTGACTGGTTCTATATCCGTCAGGCATATTTGTAGCCTAGATTGGATCGATGGAATTTTACAATAAACTAAACTAAACTAAACTAAACTAAGGGGGTGTTGAATGGTTGGGATGTACAAAACAGAAGCAAGGAAGCAGCCACTAGTTCTTCTGGTATTTACCATTTTTAAACAATAAGTCTGCATTGGTTGTGTTAGCACTATTATCTGTAATACAAAATCCAGTTTTTCAGACTAGACCGTTTGTAAACAGGAAAAGAATTCAATGTCATTAATTATGCCAAACTTATTTGTGTTGCAACATATCAAATTAGTGACATAAAAATCTGAAACTATGTGTTTTAAAATGAATGTAAAGCAACCTTTATTAAGTTGGATTTGAGATTCTCTTTGAGCTGTGTTCCATTTGATATCGTTAACATAACAACTATATCCATCTGAACTTACTTGTCTTCAGTCACTGTATCCTGTGTGTGCTGCAGTAAAAATAATCCAGCAGGATCCAATTCATCGGCTGGTAGAAGTCCTGTAATATTCTCTGGTACAATTTTCCTTATTTCACTCAAAATCTTATCTTCCATCTTAGTACCTTGTATCTGATAAAAATAGTTCACACGCCTGCACACACACGTGTGCGTGAACCTCGCGTGTTGTACACTGAGAAGGCCATAGCATTCCCAGACTCATTATTTGATCATATTTGTGTTATCTAAATATTAGAACCATCACAACTCAGAATCGCTCTCAACATGCTCAACACGTTATACATACAACTTCTGAACATAAAAATTACCGATAACTTCTCTTTCGGCGTGGGCTCCCCAAGGAAACTGGCAACCGCAACGCAACTGAAATTTCCGGAAAGAATCGCAAATTTGAAGAAGGCAATTGGTTTCCTGTTTGGCATGAGCACGCTGAGGAACCTTATGCTTAATTATGCACGATTGTAAATATTAGTTTTTAATTTCGTGCACTTACCTTCTGCAATGGAAGATAATAATACTGATCTTGTCATAATATGGTGTATTACAGATCGGTTAAGATGAGGGGGGAGGGGGGGAAAAGAGTGAGAGTGAGAGTGAGAGAGAGAGAGAGGACCACCACGTACCCACTAACTCATGGAGTGCCGCCCTTCTTGAGGAGCCGCCAATAATGCAGTTACTCAACAACTTCCCAGCATTTTATGGAACCTCAAGGTTCATTACTGTGTTCATGAGAGCTCTCCACTGATCCCTATCCTGTGTCTGATCAATCCAATGCATACCATTCCCTCCTATCTCTCTAATATTTATTTTAATATTGTCCACCCATCTACGTTTTGGTCTTCCCAGTTGTGATTTACCTTCACGAACTGAACCCATCCCCGACCGATCCAAAGTTATCCTAGTCCAGGCGAAGGCAGAACTGACCCTAGGCAGCCGGATGCAACAAACAGTTAAGGGTGATGAGAACCCTGGTTAGAGCAGCTCATCGACACCCCAGTCTTTGGGGGCGTGACAGGTACTGGGTAAGAACCTACACACCCGCTCTACGCCATTACAAAGTGGTGCCAGTGAAGGTGGGATCAGCCAACGAAAGGATGGCAACGGAGTAACTTAGTATCATTTCTTTAACCACCCATATCATGGCAGCACAATTGCTGGCATAGGTGGTGCAATGGTAGAATGCTCGCCTGCCATGCAGGCGGCACTACACAGTATTTTCTTTAACCCCCCCCCCTTTCAGGCATTACAGTGTGAACATCAAGTTCATGTGCAAATTCGCAAAATCTTCTTCAGAGACGCTATCGGCCCTGCAGCAAATTTACGGTGATACTGCACTAAAGAAATCCGCAGTTTACCACTGGTTTTCCCGGTTTAAGACTGGGCAGGAGACATTAGAGGATGACCACTGCGGCAGGAGACCTTCGACATCCAGAACCGAAGAAATGATTGGAAAAGTGCGACAACTGATTCGATGTGATCGAAGAATGACCATCGTGGAGTTGGAGGAAGAAGTTGGTACTGTTACTGGCCATTTCTACGTGCAAGTTTTGCAGGGGTTGTGCAATGCAGTTCGGAGGAAGCGGCGCAACAAGTGGCAGGGACAGTGCTTTCTGCATCACGATAACACACTGAGCCACACATCGCTTGTTGAGCAGCAATTTCTTGCTGAGAAAAACATTCCTGTCATCATTCAACCACCATACTCTCCAGATCTCACTCCAAGTGACTTTTGGCTGTTCCTTACTCTGAAAATGGGCATCAAGGGGACATGTTTTGCAACCAGGGAGGACATCAAATTGAATGCGACGGCTGAGCTCCGGAAGATTCCAAAAGAAGCCTTCCACCGCTGCTTCCAACAATGGCAGAATCAATGGAGCAAGTGTGTGCACGCAAGGGTCCTACTTTGCAGGTGATTAGGTAAGTGTTGCCGTATGTTCTACCATTAGAGTGCTATACCACCATTCTGGGAACTTTTTGACGGACCCTCATATACCTAACTACACAGGACACAGTTGTTCTTGAGAGTCACTCAGCCAGTAAAACATTTTACTGAAAGATCATTACAGAGTTAACAAGGACATCCCACTGGTTTCTATCTTAGCCAGTTCCATCCAGCCTGCACCATGACATCTCCTATCTTAAAAATTTCTTTCTTCTGAACCAGTACTCCCATATACACCTAAGCTCTTCTCTTCATGGCATTTTCCAGCTCCCCTGCATGCTACAAGCTCTAAGCAGGCCATCTTCCAGAATTTGATCACCTCAATAATATCTGTTGAAGGGTAAAGTGAAAAATGTAAAGCTATCCCTGTAACAGGCCGTGGAGGCCCACAGGGCTGTGAGACATCGAGGCTCCCATATTTTCTAGACAATTGTCTCACAGACGGAAATTAGGTTGTCAGCCTTACATGCTGGCCATGCATATTTAGTGAAGGCTGTACATCACTGTCCACCTAATTCAAGATTTGCTAACAATAATTATGCAGTTCTCATTGTCACATCATACTGTTCACAAATCAACCATGTTTCACATAGCTGACTAAAATATTGTTGCGTGTAGAGCCATTACTATGAAATGACCACAAGCAAATATACTAGAGCAGTTTCTACACAACAGCTTAATGAACACATTCCCACAGGAACAATAGAAGTACTGTTGGAAACGGTGTATTCTATTCGGTCTGCCCAAAAGAGTTATAGGGAGGACAACTGAAGCAAAATAGTTCTATCCCATGTGGAGGCAGGGCCAAATACCTTCACCATAGCCCTGTGAGTCGTAGAAGGCGTTAAAAAGGGAAATTTTTAATCTGAGACAGTAAAATATGGTCATGAGTCCCACAGGACTTGGACCCCAGAATGACTGCGCTGGCAAGGACCAGCGGCAATTGTAAATGAGAGACCCATCCTCTCATCAGAGAAGGTGCCCCACATCAACATACCTGCAACTATCTGACAGTAATAAAAAACTTGGTGTATGCCCCAGATGGGTGTTTTATTCCAAGACAGACTGGCTGAGTGCCCATCAGTTGTAACAGAATACTAACTGTAAATAGTTCAGTTGGAAGCAGGCTGCTCTTCAGAGAGCACTTGAACCCCATGATCAGAGGAACAGCCATTGTTAGAAGCCAGTACCAGGCGACAACTAGTGAAGGCACTGCATGCTGGAAAAGACTTAGCATGTGCTCTAGTGAACTGTAAAGTATGGAAATTAGTGGCAGTGCTATAACTAAGTGTAGTTATGAGCTGTGGGATAATGTGGTAAATAAATCCAACATCCAATCCAAAACCCCATCGAGAGTCACTTCATACACATGACCATGTGACAAGATGGCGTCTGTGAAGAACGTTCCTAGTTCTAGCTCTTGCTGTTTTGGAACAAATTACGATGAAGGAAGTGAAAACAGGTGCCAAAATTGCTTGAAAGCGATGGAACAGTTAGAAGTGCTCAAATCAGAAATACAGTCTGCACAATTGACAAATAAAATTTTGCTGGAGGAAATCAATCGCACAGGCAGTGTGTACAGCATCGCCAAAAAACTACCAACATATGAAACACCTAAGTCACAAAGTGAAACCTATCTGATAAACAAAAGTGAAACACCGAATAAGAAACCCAAGAACCCTAAAAAAACTGGGGGAAAATAAAGCAGTGCGAGTTATACACCAAATCCGAGCAATTAACCAACAAACAAGTAAATCTAACCTTCAAACAGCTAAAGACATCATAGATAGACCAATACCAACTATAGTGAACAGTGTGACTAAGGTCAAGAAACATGGAAAATCAAATCAACAGCACAATGATCATATCGAAGATAACATAAATGAAGTGCAAAAACTTAAGAAACACAGAGTCCTGATACTCGGGGATAGTCATGTGAGAGGATATTGAGACCTAATAAATATGAAGTTAAATAAAGAGTTCGGTGTCAGTGGAATTGTGAAATCAGGAGCTAAATCCAGAGACATCCTAAATACCATTGAGAAAAACATGCCAAAGGACGATGTTATAACAGTGTGCGCTGGCAACGACATTAGCAAGAATAGTGGTAAGGAAGGAATAAGTAGCATAATTAACTTAGCTAAAAAGACCAGTCACACCAACATTATTGTAATGGAAGCTCTACACAGACATGACCTGGCCGATTGGTCATGCGTCAACAAAGAAACCCTACAATTCAACAGACTTCTAACAAAAAGGCTCAAATTACATAACACGTGACAATCAGCAAGGTAAATCTAAACAGACATCATTTCACAAACCACGGCCAGCACATGAACTACAAAGGAAAAGAAAAGACGTGTCAACAGATAGCAGAATTGGTACAACAAAAGATTGGAGCAAGAGCAAAAAATGCTATACCACTAGAATACAAGGAGGGAACCGTGCATGATGAGGCCACGTCAGGAAAACCCAAGGAGGAAACTGTCCATGAGACTGCAGAAAGCCAAGGGAATGAAGCTGATGAAACATTAGTCGACCCATCCCCCAACAGTGTGGCACCACTTGAAGGAAAGCAACATCAGGAAATTCGGATGTCAGGAAGCTCCCAGAAAAGCTAAGTAAACATTTTTTATAGATAGGAATAGTACTGGCACTCTCAAGAATAGTAATAAAATAGGTTCAACCATCCAATTATTACATCAAAATGTTCAAAGTCTAAACAACAAGAAGCTGAATATACATGTGCTACTGTCAAACAAAACGTTAGAATCGGATATACTCTGTATCACTGAACAAGGGTTGGATGAAAGAGAAATAGATTATTATAACTTCAAAAACTCTTCCTTGATATCAAAATTCTGTAGGAAAAATAAACTGCATGGAGGCTCATGCATTTATGTTAAAACAAATCTAGATGCAAAACCCCGTAACCTGTTTGAAAGCTTAAATCAAGAAGAACACTTTGAGGCCAGCATAATTGAACTTATACAATTTAATATAGTCAACTCTCGATTATCCGGGATAATTGTGGGCATGGAAATCACGATTAATCGAAAACCCGGTTAAGACAAATGTTATTAAAAGTAGTACTGTAATACTGTACCTTCATAATACTATAGGCCTACCTGTATTTAAATTTACTCAACCTCATTTTTATGTCATCTCATGCCCTATTTAATACTTTTTTTACATTATACTGGAGTGTGAATTAGTTATTTCAGTCACAGTGTTCAACAACATCCAACACTTTTTACAAATATTCACACTTAACACTTAAAAAAAATTAATACTGTCATTTGCTTTTTCACAGCATTTTCCTTTTTACGGATATCCGTACGAAGCCTACGTAATATTAGCTTGTCACTTAATAAACTGTTCTCTTCACTCTCAAGATAGTCTAGTAACGATTCTAAATGATTAAGAGCAGCACCATGTGATATTTTCTTACTAGCAGCACTGTCCACCTCTTCCTCATTCTCACTTTCTTCCCACTCTTCTGGCTGCACCCCCACTGAACTTATGCTTCCGTCACTGCTCAACATTTCAAAGCCTGGCTCACATGAGTTTCTGTTGAATACTTAACACAACACACTTCCTTTTACACCCTGACATTTTGCTGACACGCTTGAAGATCGATACAAACAGACCAACTGGGGTGGTGTATCTGTCCTTGAAACTTTCCACAAATCCTTGCATTCTTTCACCCCTACCTTAGAACACTGTGTTAGCATAACGGGACCAAAGAATGCAGAGCTTGGGTCACACTAGTGCGAAAATAGTGTTACAACTCACTATGTGAAACAAAAGTGAATGAATATTAAACATATAAGCCTCAAAAAAGCCTCAATAGCCCCGGTTAAGCTGAAAACTGGTTAATCCACCCCCGGATAATCGAGAGTTGACTGTACTATCATAATCTGTTTACATAGAACCCTTAATAGAAATATCAACATATTTATAAAAAAACTTGGACACAGTACTTAGCAATCTGACCAATAAAGGAAAGAACATTATTATAGCAGGAGATCTCAATGTAGATTTTCTAAAAAGAAGTGTAAATCCACAACTACAGACAATGCTAGACTCATATGGCTTGCAAGCAATAGTTGATGTCCCAACAAGAATACGACCTAAAAGCCAAACAGCCATAGACGAAATAATAATAAACAAGGGCTTGTGGGAATACAACTTTAAAGTGGCAGAAACAGGGCTCTCTGACCATAATGCCCAAATACTACAAGTACAAATGCATTATAAGAACAAAAAAGGACACGGTAGAATAACTAAAGAGTTCAGATTAGCTAGATCTTATAGTGAGGAAAACGTACATCTAAATTATTTACTAGGAAAAGAGACCTGGGAGCCTGTTCTTAAACAAAATGAGGCAAATGATGCATACAATGAATTTTTAGGCATCCTTCAGTACTATCACAATATAGCTATGCCTAAAAAATGGGTAAAAATT